AAAGACTCTGACTACGAGTATGACACAGACGAAGATGTCCCAATGGTGTCGAAGAACAAGTTAAAACCAAATTGAGTGATTTCAATTTCTTCGAATATGTGAGCATTGATAATACAAGAGAAATGTTGACCGATGAGCAAATTATAGACTCCGTAACCTCATCTACAGCTTTAAGCGATAATGAGAAAGATGACGATTTAGGTGAAACGTATTCTACTGAAGACACTAATGCTGTTCCAACCATTTGTGAAATGACAAAAAAGGTATCAGAAACTCGGCATTTTCTACAATCACGCCAAGTTCCTAATCATATCTGGGAGTCCTTTTGTGATCTTGAAAACTACATAAATAACATCTATTTTTGCAGCAGAAATGTACAAACAAAAATTACAGACTTTATAAAGTAGATTTCAAATTGAATTTTGTTTATCTTTTTGTGTTCGTTTTAGTCATACCTGCTAACTTCTACTTCTACTCTATGTAAAAATAACGAAATAAAATACACCACGTGTTTTGTATTATTATTCGCTTATAGCTCCGGATATAACGAACCAGTTTTAGTTCATTTTCGTTCGTTATATCGGGACTCAACTGTATTGAAGTTTGCAATACTAAGCAGGTTCATACAGGAAAGTTCCTGGATTGCACAAGATTTTTTTGTAGATTTCTTTCGTGCTCAGAAGCACCCCAATTTGCCTTGGCATCAGCCGCCCGAATAACGTTAATGTGAACAGACAAAACAATGACTGCGCACTCATTTTGGAATGAACTTATTTCAGAAAAGTGTTGCCTTTGCCCGAGAGAATTTCCACTTTCTAGCGCCACACAACAGGAAAATAATTTTACTGAAGCCCATTTTAGGGCTCGTATTTATTAACGAGTGCTGTGCGCCCGTCTGTCTTGTTTCCCACTTTGAGCCTGCTTTAACGCAGTCACTGTTGGCTTGGGGTTTTTAAATTCCCTTCGTAAGCTAATGCAACTTTTACGTTATTCATTAGAGCCACCCATACATGTTTTATGGGCTAATCGATAAGTTTCCCTGGCATTTAACTACAGCGTTTTCAACTGAGACAATAAAAAGTTTCCCAACACCACTTGAGCTTGAAATATTCCACCTGGCGTTTGGAGGAAGTTTTGAAACAAGACAACCAGAATGATGCAGCAGACAAACCGTGCTCGAATTCTCTGGCTAATTGCAACGAGCTTTAGAACAACAAACTGAATTTGCAGCACGGACAACAACACGTAACGCCGAAGAATTATTTTCACGTGGCCGGGAACGTTTGTTTGAGATTCATTATCCGTGTTTAGTTTCCTTTGGGATTCGATGTCCGAAGTTAATTCAGTTGAAACAGTATCAGATGAGACTGGAGGTTCTACGTAATTTTACATTAATCTTTATTGCATTTTTACAAATTTTCAATATTTTGGGGGCTATTTGAGGGCCTGCTTCCTGCTGTTTAAGTACCAGCAACGTTTCCCGAAAAATCCTTGAAATTTTGACCTTTCAACCGCTCTGCTGAGGAGAGTCTGATTGTTCGCAGCAAATTATTTATCGAAAACGTCCGTTGCACCGATCATGCACATATTTGCTGCTGGAAATTTAGCCTCCATCTCTTCGAGAGAGGTTCGAGCCTCACAATCCTGATGGTACTGAAACAACGATCGCACAGTCCGCTACTAAAGTGTTTAAATTGTCTGTACTTTCCTGACTGTGTTTCAATTCCAAATTAAAATCAAATCCTGGGCTCTTCAGTCATTTATTGTCTATTTATCAATTAAAAAAACGTCTCGGTGTTTTCCACCATCATCAGTTTCAATGTGTAGCGTTGTTGCTACTGAGAAAGTGTTTAAATCCACTTGAAAACCTGAGTGAAGTCAATTAAAAATGCGTTTAGGGATTGTACTTGAATACCAATCGTTAGAGATTAGGAGCTTTGGAGCAAAGAAGGAATTTCCAGCCAGATAAATTGCTGGGGATTTTCACTGGATATCAGGATATTTATTAATACAGCATTTCATATCGAAGATTATCGAGCACCTTGTGCCAAGAGAAACCCATTTAGTTCGCGTCGGGTCAGGGCTAAAGTGCCAATTTCCAGAATCACAAGGTCCTGATATCTGGCGATCGTATTTCGACAAAAGCGTAATGAAAGCTTCGGTATTGACGAGCGACAGCGAGCTCAGCGAGGAATCAATTAGGAAAAGCCTCTTTGCCACTCTAGCGCGCTTTTCCTCAAAAAACTCTCATGCACTGCTCTTGAGCTGTTGCCTATTTCACGCGGCGAAACATTCAATTTCCGTGGATTTATGGGCGTGAGCTCGCAGGAAAACCGCAAAAGATGAATGCCTGCAATAAAGCTGAGGGCTGTTTGAAATGAAAAATGCACTTACCATCCGGTCCGAACACACTCACATTGAAGCCCTCCAGCCCTTTGGCCAGGTACGTCATGTTGAGGGGTTGGTAGCAGGTTTCGGTAAGCACAAGTAGAGGTTGGGGAGGTTGGAGGGAAGCCAGAGGGACAGCGCAGGCCAGCAACCCCAACAAGTACAGGCCTGCCATTTTTCCCTCTT